CCCCGAGTAGTTAGGCCTGTGTCCTACCCAAAGCATGAAAGAGTTTGGGACATCTGTGCACGGCGGCTGATGGCAAGCGCCGCCTTTGACCACGCAGAGCCGCTGCCTTTCACAACGGAGCCCGCCAATGCAGTCGCTCGTCGTCGAGCTTCCGCGGCGCGTGCGCGAGCCAGCACAAAATATGAGGGCGTGGGCAGGGGCCAGCCGCGCCACGCGCGGCCACGCGCACCTCACAAGCCAACCGCCGCCCCCGCAGCACGGCGGCGAGGTGAGCCTCGCAAACGACGCCGAGGGGGCAAAGCTGGCTCTCGCCGGGTGTGCCTCAGCGGCCGCGGGCGAGCAGGGCATGTGTGCGCCACGCGCCGCCGCTCCGGCCGGATCATACGGGCCTCCCTCCCGCGGCTCGTCGCAGGAGAGCGGGTCGATCCGATGATGCTCGGTGAAGATGCTCGGTCTGCTCTCGCCAAAAGTTTGTCCGACTCGACGTCTGGCCCCGGGCGTCGGGCCGTGGCGGCGACAGCAGGCGTGCTCCAGCGCCGCCTCGTGCGCGCGCACGCGCAGCGGCGGCGCCTCCGCACCACCCGAGCCGCCGCCCGGCCGAGCGAGGAGCAGAGAGACGACGAGAGACATCCTGATTCAAGTTCTTTCTTTTACGGCGGCTCCCGTGGTGTACCTGTGTTAGTGCCAGTGCGCGCCAGTCCCGTGCCCAGTGTTGTGCGAGGGTCCGACGATTCTTTCTTTTAAACCAAAATCGCGGACACCAAAGTTCAAAGTTCAACGATGGCGACAGCAGCGCTCGGCGCGAGCCGATTTCACCCCGCCCCACAATCGCCGATGCCGTTGGCCCGCGCCTCACTTCCGGAGCGCAAGCACGCGTTGGCGGCACTGCCCAACGACCGCGCCGCATGGCGCGCGGCGCTGCCTCGCCGAGCCGCAAAGAAGGCCGCAGCCCTCATCAAGAGCCTCGCTGGCTCAGAACCACAGAGGCCGAAGCTGGACAAACGCCTCCGGGAGCAGGTGGCGCTCCGCGTCGAGCGCTCGGACCCAGCGCTCGCCGCCATCTACCGTCGCTGCTTCGACACGCTCGAGCCGCTGATCAGCGTCCGCCGCGGCGAGCTGCAGTCTGGACGGCGTCCGACGCTCGCCTTCATCTCGACGGGCGACATCCCGCAGATGTGGCTGCGCGACTCGACGGCGCAGCTGCTGCCCTACCTACGACACTCGCGCGCCGAGCCCGGCGCCGGCGCCCAGCGCCACGGCGGGCTAAACGCGACTCACCGCCCTACGCTCGAGCTCGCTGCCGCTCTGCTGCGCGCGCACACGCTGTGCCTTTCCGTCTCCATATACGCCAACAACTGCAGGCAGGCCTTCAGCGCCGGCGCCGGCCAGTCGTGGCCCGACATCACCTTGGCAAGACGGGCTGAAC